GCCCAGAGATGGACATCCACCCCCTCCAACCCTGCATGGTGATCCCCCTCTGAAACCTCAGCCTGTGAATCAAGGCCCTGACCCACCCATGGAAACACATCTGTGCTTTCCTCGGGTGAAGTTGCAGCTCCATGGTGCAGACCCAGACACGGGGCAATCTGTAAGCCTCCTACTGTATCCTCAACCCTCAGCAGCTCTTTCCTCAGGCCAGCGTGGCTCTGCAAGCCAGTCTGTGCCTGGTGGACCCTCCTCAACCATCAGGTGTCTGTATAAATGCCACTTTTCCCAGGAAACCTCTGACTCAGTGCTTGGTTAGCCTGGATCTTTATGTTGCCCACCCAAGTAACCCCACAGTGCCTTCTGTTGCCACATCTCCCACACCTAGGGTAAAGACCATCATTACTCTCCAGTTTGTCTGTTTATCTTGGAGTTTCAGCCCCAGCAAACATCCTGGATGATGGGGACATTGAACTTTGCCCCGAAATGGCTCTGACTTGTGTTACTGCTAGAAAGTTGGGTGGAAACTTAAGAAGAGCATGAGCTCTATCTCCTCCAGAACTCCACTGGGCCCTGGGGACCCTGCTCTGTGCACGCTCACACACACTGTTCCCTTCTCTGCTGCTCCTGACCCTGATTGGTGGCTTTGCCTGTCCCCAGAGCCCCACAGCTCTCCTCTTGCCTCTAACTTGTGCAGATTCTAGATTCAGTGTCTGGGGTAATCCAACAATTTGGATTTCAATGAAATCCACAGATGTCGGCTGTCTGGATGGTGGCATTTGCAGGAAGGTTTTTAGTATATCAGGTTGATTACAATATTGGTCTCTGCAAAACCCTTTGTAAGATGTCTGTTTTGACAGATTTCTGCCAGTGGATTTCCTTCTCTTTATTGCCTCCACTGAGTCTGGTATGAGAGCTACCATCTCCCTTTAGGAATCAGAAATGAGACTGAATGCCTCAGCTGGGTGCTGGGCAGGATGGATGGTTATGAGAGGAGCTGGACCTGCCCCAGAGCAGCATTGAGACTCCTGTGTTGCTTATAGCAGAGCAGCAACTGGTCTTAAGTTCCTCTCCTGCCTGGCCTAGGCTGGATTGAAGGCTGGGGGGCCCATATCAGGAGAGTGTGTGAGCTGCTGTGTTCAGTGGCACAAGTGCTTTCTGTCCCAGCCAGGTGGCAAGGAGACAGAGAGGAGTGTGAGCATGAGGATGGAACAGTGGGTCCTTGATTCCCCTGTGAAGCTCCCAGAGAGCTGAGGCTCACCTGTCGGGTCTGGCCTGGTAGTTCCTCTGAGCAGGGTCCCCAGTGGATGTGGCTGTCACCTCTGGGACAGCCTTTGCTGGTAGTCCTAGTATAATGTACACCTTGTTCCAAGGATTCTGCTTTGTTGTTCTCCAGGTGTATGACAGACACACTAGAATTCCTGTCCCATCTGCATTTTCCCTGAGCTGCTTCTGTGTGGCTGCCTGGGTGCCGTTTTCTGGGACTCCCTGTCTGTGGTTGCCTCTGCTGGATATTCCCAGGAAATGAGGACAGTTGTGCTCAGAGCCACAGGTGCTGAACCATGTGGGCTGCTCAACACAAACCACACACCTTCCTGCCTTTTGCAGGAAGTTGAGGACTGGCAGGAGGCCACAGGTCTGCCAGCATCCAAACCAGCAGCACAGTCTTCTTGGGGCTTGCTGGCTCTGTGCCCGAAGGACCTGTCAGGTCTCCTTGGCTGAGGTTCCCCATCCTCAAGTCCTTAATGGCAACACTTGCTTGTGCCATGGACTGAGCTAGTGATGGGAGATTCCCTTATGCCTCTGAACTGTTACTTAATGTGGTTATTATTTGTCCTTTTCTTCTCTAGAAGACTAAAGTCAGAAACTTGTGCTTATTCTCTGAAAATGTTAGTTGCCCAGTTCCTGTGCAAGCTCACAGCCCAGTGGGGCAATGAATGCTTAGGGCTCTGCACTCTGCTGGCTGCTGGGAGCTGCAGGGGGTACGACAGCCAGCTGCCCATGGGCAGGAGTCTAACCTGTCTCCCATGTAGTGTTTAGCTGGACTCAGGCACCAAAAAGACCAGAGAGAGAGAGATTGGGAGTGGAGACCCAACAGACAAAATGTGGTTGTTCTGGAGGTGGTCAGGAGGCATTATGCTCCCTTAGTTATTTGCTGAGAGTGGCTGAGGCTGGGTTCTTGTGCATACCAGGCTGGTGTGGGTACCTGGCCCAGAACTACCTGGCAGAGCCCATCTCCCCAAGCTGTAATGCAGCCAGCTCAGCCCTGTGCCCCTGCAGGCACTCCATCTCCTCCGCTGAGACATAGACACCAAAGTCAGTTCTGAGCTGGCCCACTCCCAGGATGCTGCCTCAAGTCCTCCCAAGGATTGTGGCCCCACTGCAGCCTTTTGAATGTGGGACCTTGTGCTTTATCACCTCTCCCATCTAGGCAGTACCAGTGCAGGTTCCCAAGGACAAAACCAAACAGGTCAGTTCAGAAAGGCCCCTATGATAGCTGACAGCACTTGGAGCCTTCCACTCTCCCCACAGCAGATGGCTCTGTCCAGGGCCATGTCCTCTGAGGGCAGTTGTTCCCGAGTGCTGGCCTCATGTGGAGCATGGGGCTTAGGGAAGGGGGTCACATGCTTAGAGTCTTCTTGTGGACTATGTCCTCATGTCCCCACCTCACCCACCGTATCCCAGCCACTCTCTTGTTTTACTCTTCCTCCCAGCTTTGTCCCTGTCACACACACGTAGATGTAGAGGACCAGCCTTCCTTTCATATCTAGTAGAGTCAGGGAATTGTGCCAAGCAGCAGTGGGTACTCTCCTGCCAGCAGGGAGAGTGCAGGCTGGGATGCCTGGATGCCTTCTTGTTGCTGCTTAGGCTCTGAGCATGTTCAGGTCGACATGTGAGGTGGGATGGAAGGGAGTAGGCTCATTGGATGGTTTGTGGTATAATCGGTAACACAGATCACATGGGCAGAGGCTGGCTATGGAGGTGGCTATGGAACTGGGTGGTGCTAGGGTTGGGGCAGTGGGGCCTGGCCATGGTTCTTTTGATATTGTTTTATTTTGCAGTACTGGAGATTGAACCCAGGGCCTTTGCACTGAACTACATCTCACCCTTATTTTTATTTTTTTGAGACAGAGTCTGGCCGAATTGCCCTGGCTGGTCTCAAACTTGTAATACTCCTGCCTTGGCCCCCAGGAGTGCTGGGGTTACATGTATGCACTACCACACCCAGCGAGCAGGGGTTCCTGTCTGTGGAATGTGGGCTGGTTCCCATCAGGCCTCCCCTTAGCAGCCCCCTCCATTCCTCCTTTCACCCCTTGATAAGGCAGAGACCTTTTCAGGAGCTTCGTCAAAGCCCTTGCCCACAACCCTGCAGAGCCCTATTTTTCCCCTTTTCCTTGGACAGCTGGGGGAATGGGGAGAGTCTCTGTCCCTGCATTCCTTAGGGAATTCGTGTATACTAGTCAGCTTTTCATTGCTGTGAAAAACATCTGAGATAAACAACCTAAAAGAGGAAAGGTGTATTTTGGTTAGGTTTCAGTCCATGGGAGGTCACTTGGTTCCATGGCTTCTGCACTGATGGTGAGCCAAACAGCACGGGGGAGGGCTACCTGCCTCATGGCAGCTAGGAAGGTGGAGGGGGGATGAAACGGGAAGGAGACCAGAACAAGATATGGTCCCCATGGTCCACTTCCTTCCAATAGTCCCACCTCCTAATAGCCCATTCAGCTATTAGAATTAACATGTTCCTCTGGCTTGAACCACCAGTGGTACATGCATGACTGTCTCCTGCCAACTGTACCACTTCTACCACCAGTGGTACAAGCTGCCTGATAGGACAGTCGTGCATGTACCACTGGTGGTATAAGCCATCCAGCAGCAAAACATAAGTTATTGCCATGTTGTGAGTGTGCTAATCCATTGATGATGTTAGTGCCCTTATGATCTGTCACCTCCCAAAAGCCCCGCCTTTGTCAGTTCTATATGGGACCAACCTTCAACAGAATGTGTCTTTTAGGGGACACTTTAGATCTCAACCATAACAACAGATAAGAGGATGACACCTAAGTGGGCAAGTAGGTAAAATACCTTAACCCAGAGTGTATCCCACTGCAGGGCACGTGTCCCTACAATGAGGCCAAAGTCACAGGCAGGCCCTCTATTGGTGTGGGGCATTGGGGATGTAGATCTTGGCCAAGGGAGACAGCTGCTGCCCTGGGGGACAGCTGAGGCCAGCCAGTGCTGGGTGGAGAGTAAGGGTGCTGAGCCCTGGCATAGATGAGATGGGCCCTGCCTGTAAGCAGTGTCAACAATGTTGACATGGTGGGACGTCTGGAAAGCCTCAGAATGGCTCATGCAGAGGAGATTCCGCTCAGTCCTTCATCAAGGCTTCTCCAGGAGGAGCATGTTGCTGTGACCCTGTGAAGAAGCAGCCAGGGACTAGGCCTGCTCAATGTTTTTATCGCATGCGCCTCCTCCTATTATTACTATTGGGACATTCCAACACATACACACACACACCCCTCCATCCTGTCCAGTGAGTCCCCGCAAGGCAAATGCCCTTCCTCCCCCGTTCCTCTGGATGCTCAGGGCTGTGTGTTCCTGAGACTCCCAGGTCTGCCTATTTGCGGGTCTTCAGGTTGTTGAAGCAGCTTTCAGTTTGGCTGGGTGTCAGGATTGTAGCTGAACAAGTCTGGCACTCTGGGACCTGTGTTCCATCTCTTTCATCCTTGTCATATTTGTGGGCCAGGCACATGATCCCACCCCATTATGATTGTGAGAAAACAGTGTTGTGTGGCGTGGGCTCAGTCCTTCCTGCTTTGCACAGGAGCTGAGTTCACTCTGAGCTACAACTGACCCTCCTGCAGGCTAAAGCGACTGGGCCTCTGGCCAGCTGCTGGAGGGGCCAAGGTGTGCATGTGGGGGTGCTGCTCGAGGGTAGGGGCATGTGTTAGGCATGGGGTCTTTCTACCCCTTACCTGGTGTCCCTCTGTTTCATTGTGCAGTGAACTTCGACCATTTCCAGATCCTGCGTGCCATAGGGAAGGGCAGCTTCGGCAAGGTAAGGCAGATCCTCCAGGTAAGAAGGCAGGGAATGGGGAATGTGTGGGACCATGGAGCTAGACAACTGTCCCCTTGCCTATCTGCTGCATTCTCTGGAAAAGCCAGTTGTACTTAGACAGCTGGGTTAGGTCTGTCAGGGAGTGGGGTGCTGGGGTGTCAGGGTGGGCTGTGGGCCCAGTCACAACCATATTTAAATCTCTCTGGGAGTCTTGTGGCTCAGCCAGGAGCTGAGGGTAGCATTGGCATAGTCAATGAGAGACTGTCACCAGTGTGAGAGAGCTGAGCCCCTGAACCCATCCACTTGTAATTCTGAGGTCCATGTTGCAGCCAAAGCTATTTCTTCAAAGAGGAAGTATGCTCAGGCCTAAGAGGAAAGTATTGAAGAAGGAGTGTATGGTATGCCCAATACCCCAGTGTCCAGGAGCCACTATGACAGTTGGGAACCACTGTCCACCAAAATAGCCATCTTTGCTATCTGGAGCACAGAAACTAGGCCTGTGCCTATTCCTTGGGACATGCAGGTGACAGAACCAAAGGTAGGTGGCCAAGTGTGCATCCACATCCAGGGAAGGAGGCTTCTGTCCTCTGCTGAGCTGGAGCCATTTCTTCACTTTCCCCAGTTCTCTTTTGGCTAGATCTAACTTCCTGATTACTGCCTTGTGATATCTGGAGATTGGGAGTAATTATAACTGAAAGAGGCTTAACAAGCACTTTGAAAAGGTTGGAATTAGCCTGGACTTCTGCAGAGATGGCTGTGCTATGGATGGATCACTTCTGAATGGACATTTCTTTTCAGCTGTCCTGGGGGGCTTGGCAGACGGCCTTGGGCCTCCCCCTCTCCTGTCTGTACAGCTGTCTGGACACTGTGTCTATTTAAATGCCATAAACCCTTTTTAAAGGGATTGCTATGCTACCAGAGCAAAATGTGCAGGGTATTTGAATGCGATTAATTGCCTCCATTTTATTGTATCACAAACGATTGCTGCACCAGGTTACTCAAGGCCTAGGGTAATTATAAGTCAGAGCAGATGAGCCCCTTTGCACATATTTATTTAAAATGCACCAAGGTGAGATATTTTTAGCATCTCAGTGTGTCAGGCAGTGGTGATGGTTTTGACGATTGTGAAGAAGGCCGACCTTGGAGCAAGGGCCTAATGTTGGTGAGTTTCTCAGGGTTTTCAGGGCTGGCAGGGATGCCTCTGTGCTCCTGTTGTCCCAACAGAGTGTAGGCTGTGTCCCAGGACCACAGCGGACATAAGGAAACATAAGGAGCAGGCAGGTAGGGTTTGGGGAACCCCCCTCCACCCCCACAAGGCCTGGCAGAGGACAGTGACTGTTAGCAGGTTTAGGAAGGGTAGCTGAGACAAAGAAGCATGGAGGTTACTAGGCATTCGGAACTCAGGCATTTAGAAATCAAGGGACACAGCCACCTGGGGAGAGCCAGGCTGAGGCCATCTGAGGGCAGAGACTAGTGGATGGGTGCAGGGGAAGGCCAGTAGGTGGATATAGTTGCTGGTTTCTGGGGCCCTGTGTCCCCTCTCCTACCTCTGGTGGACCTTTCTGTCTTCAGGATGCCCCCTTGCCCTGTATTTCTTACCACTGCTGGCTCCGTACCCCTGCCTGGGAACTGACTGTGCTTCTCACAGTCATAGCTAGACAGCCCCCCTCCTCTGTCAGAGTTTGCAGATCTCCCATGTTCTGGGTCCCCTGACTGGTTCTTGGCTCTGAAAAGCTGATTGGCCTGGAAATGGGCCACTGCAGAGAGGGAAGACAACAGCATGCTGTTGGGTGTCATTTTCAGATGTAAGTTGGTGGTACAATTGTAGGCTCCTTCCTGCCCTCTAATTAGCTGCCTAATTAGGGGTCTTGGGCTGCAGGCTGTGGTTGCTGGGTAGGTATCTAGGAATGTGGGTAGGGTGAAGCCTGTCACAGGCCTGGCCCTAGTCCTTCCCTCTACTAGGAGAGGCAGCCCCAAGGTTCTGGCTGGACCTGGGGATGTATCTATTTATATGTAACTGAGGTTCAGATTTGGTGTCTAGTGGGTGTCTTCTTCCTAGCCTAGACAGTGTTTCTTGTTTATATGCCCTCACATGGAAGAGAGAGAGAGCTCTCTGGGGTCCCCTGTAAAGAACTAAATTCCATTCATGAAGGCTACATGCTCATGACTTAATACTACTGTCAAAAGAGGGCTAGGTTTCAACATGAGAATTTGTGATGGACATAAACATTCAATTTATTGCAGTTATTTAAGTGGGATCATGCAATTTGTCTTTCGTGCCTGGTTTTATTTCACATAGCAAAATTTCTCAAAGTTCATCCATGTTGTAGTTTGTGTCAGAATTCTTTTCTGTTTAAGGTAGATATTTCATTATTTTTATAGACACATTTTGTCCATTTATTGATGGACACTTGGATTGCTTTTTTGTCTTAGCTATTGTGAATAATACTGTGAACACAGGTGTGCAAAGAACTCTTAGAGGCCTTGTTTTCAATTCTTTCACTTGGAAGTAGAATTGCTGGATCATAGGGTAATTATATGGATAATTTTTGAGCAATTATCATACTGTTTTGTACAGCAGCTGCCCCATTTTGCATTCTAACAAGCAGTATACAAGGGCTCCAGTTTCTCCATATCCTTTCTGACACTTGTTATACTCTGATTTTTCTGGCAGTAACTTCCCTAATAGGGGTGAGGTACTGTCTCATTTTGTGGTTTTGATTTGCATTTCTCTGATGTCTGCAAAGACTGATCCTTAAACCTCATGAGAGTCTCATTCCTAAGGAGAAACCACACGAATACGAGGTCTATACGCTTGGGATCTGAAGCATCTGCTGAGGAGGGGCCTGGCCCCAGGGGCTGATTTTGTTGAAGCTGGTTTCATTGAGCAGAGAGGCACAGTGACATTCTTATTGAGAGTGAAATTTGGTGGACCATTTTCGATAATTAAACACCAGGTCATGCAGTTGGGTGCTCAGGATTGTTGGTCAAGTTAGAGATATAAAATAGAAAGATTAGCATCAAGTGACTGACATAAGAGTTGTGATGGTTTATCTTTGATTGGTTTGAGAGATGCTGGCTCTTTGGGTTCTTCCCTCATTAAACATGACTGAGTCCCTGGCGTCACCTGCACAGGCTCTGCTGGTTCACCAACTTAGAAGTTACAACTTAATGCCTGGCTTTCCTTGCCAAACCAAAGCTCTGAGAATTCCAGTGGAAAACTGGAAGTCTTCATGGGAAGGACATTTTTTGCTGGGTGGAATTGCTCTTCTACCAGGCTTTCACCCCTCTCTGAGATGACAGGTTGGCCTTGAAGAATGTGGGAGATGGACAAACTCTTCGACTATCTGGAACTTGGATAAATCATGTCCCAAAGCAGGTGATTTTGTTCTCCGAGGGGAGAGGAAGCTGGTAGTGGTCTACTTAACTCTGTGGCAGTGAGAACACAGTTCCGACCAGCTTGAGGATGGGGTAAGGCTTTGTCTCTGGGTTATCTTAAGACATCATAACCCCCTGGCTACATTGTGAGGAATCCAGGAAGGAGTGAGGGTGCAGATGGAACACGTTCCATGATGGCACTGTACTAGTATGATATGAACCCCCAGTAGAGCTATCTCAGCATTCTGTCCTCTGTCAAGTTCCATTCAGGCTCTGGCCACAAGCACATGGTCTGTGTGTACCTGCTTCTAGGAATGTGTGCCCTTTTCAGGAGCCAACACAGTATGTGGGCACTGCCTCTCCCACCCCTGCTTTGTTCTCTGCAGTTCTGCCCATCTAATGTCCAGGGAGTGGTGTGGCCATAATTACTTCCAATACAGATTGTCTAGGAAGGGCTAATGAAGTCTTGGAGAAAAATCAATCCTTTTTTCTCTTGGTGTGAATACTTGTCCTAGCCCCAAGGGCCATTCACTCCTTTCCTCCTTTCACTCTTCCCCACTTGCCACCTAGTGTGATTAAAAACTGGAAATATTCTTGGCTCCCAGCAAGGGGTTAGAAAGGACCATGTGTCTGAGAAGCTGCCCTCTTCCCCAGCACTGCTTGATTGTGTTTATTCTGAATGCAGAAAATTGAATTCTAACCTAAGGCTGCAGTTACCCTAAGTTTGATTGTCACAGGGACTTTTGATGGGAAGGGGCCACCCTCTTCCATCTGTGGAAAATAAATGGACAACAGGTATGTTGGCAGAAGAAAAAGTCTGCAAATTTATTAATTTTTTAAAAATGATGTTCAAGGGTGTCACAGGAAACCAAATACCCAAACACGGTGGGATCTGAGAGGTGATGGTCTATGTTTATAGGAGAAGGGGGTGGTGGAGGCCACTTAAGGGGAGCAGATGATTTCTAGGAATGATGAGAGGACCCCTGTTAGAACAGGTAGGGTTGTGCTAAATGTGGCAAGGCCAGTCTGGGGCTGGTCCACTCCCAGGCCCTCGGTGAGGACCACCCATCTTTCTAGGGGAGAGTATACTTTCAGGCAGATGAGCATTGTTTAGACAACCTTTCCTGTGTTTGCTCCTTTTCCTGTGCCTTCAGCTCAAAGTAATCAATACCTCACAGCAGCAGAAAGTGGGGCGGTTCAGGCTGAACTCTTCCACCATGTGTACCTCAGCACTGCCCTCCTTTGTGCCAAGCAGCTTCTACCATGCTGTTGCACACCCCTCTGCCTCAGGGCCCTGAGCAGCCAAGTCCTCTTCCCTAAGTCCTCTCTTCTGCCTCTCTCTCAGCACCCAGCTAAGCAAGCTCCTCTCAGGAAAATCCTCAGTCCTTTGTTGAGACCCCATCCCGTACCTGTTCCTGTGTCAGCTGGGCCCACTCTGTTTCACACTGGCCTTTGCTTTCAAGGAGTACGGCCACTTCCACAATGAAAACAAGATAACATGCTGATGGAAAAGAACCCACTCCATGTGGATTTCCTGTTTTCCCATCTGCAAGGCCCTCGTTCCCGAGCCATTTATGGAAGGCCTGGCTGGTCCTTCATTGGGTAGCTACTCATCTGGGCTC